TACTTTTCTCTCCCTTCCAAAAAAATGATGAAAAAATAGATACAATTTAAAAGCTGAAATAAAATCACAGTAAACTCTTCACCTTCCCATACGTTTAATAATCTGATATGAGAATTCTTTCTCACATAGTTTAAGGTCTTTTGAATCATCATGAATATATCACTTTTATAAGCTTTAGATATTTGTCCTTCTCCATGGGGTGTGTGTGTGTGTGTGTGTTGATGTTTTAAAAACTGGAGAGTGGAACAGAATAGAAGCAGACAGAAGTGAATTAATGTAATCGGTCACATGTAATACTGAGCGTTCCTGTGTTTCCGATCAGGACTGCTGGCCGACCTGGTGCCACCCCAGTGCCCACACTGGAGCCACCACTGGACAATTCTTTCCTCCCTCGCCCTTTATAACCAGGGCATGCATTGTCAGATGTCTAGGGTTAAGTGCACACGCTCAGGCTACAAAACAGAGTCATACTCACCGGCCAAAACATGGTAGTCATTCATTATTTTTTCATTTAATAGATTAACTACTATATACAAGATACTTCGCTAGGCTCTCAGCATATGTACGGAAAAGACAAAGTTCCTCTTCTGAAGGAGCCCACAGTCTAATACACTGTTCTCAAGCCTGCTTTCACACTGGAATTACCCAAAGAGCTAAACAAACAAACAACAATAAACCCATGCCCAGAAGCTCAGCCCTAGAGATTCCTTTTTTTTTTTTTGAGAATGCCTTATTTACCATCATCAGCCCATCAGCCCTAGAGATCGTGGTTTAATTGGTCTGGAGTAGAGTCTGAATACCAGCATTTTAATATTAATATTTTTAAAAAGTTCCTGGCATGATTCTAATGTACAGTCAAGGTTGAGAACTACTGTCCTAGTGGGTGAAAGAGATCAGTGAGTAAGCAAATATAAGTGCAATTTTCGAAATCAGCCAGTTGAACTTACCTTTCAAAGTCAGCCTGGTGGGGATCCTGCAGCCTTAAGGCCACATGTGGCCCTCCAGATCCCAAAGTGCAGCTCCTGGACCCAATCCAAACTTCACAGAACAAATCCCTTTATTAAAAGATTTGTTCGGTAAAATTTGGATTCAGTCAAAAGGTGGCACTCAAGGATCCAGAAGGCCATATGTGGCCCCAAGGCTGCAGGTTTCCCACCCCATTGGTTAGGAGGTTGCCCATTCATTCCTGACTCATTGTTCCTTCTGGTACTGCATTCTCCTAACCTGCCTTGCTACTCATGACCAAGTCCTAACTTCCTGTAACCCACTTCCTGCTTGGGACTCTGACAGGTGTTGGGGTTCTCCAGCTCATCACCTGGGAAGAATACCTGCAGCCTGTGCCGCCAGCTATTTGTTGCCCTCCAGATCACCTGCCATGCCTTGGCAGGCCTCTCTCTTGTCTTCCATCTGATCTCACCTGGCCTCCACCTCCCACCCCAGGCCTGATACAATCAACCACAGATACTGTTTTTAAAATACCAAATATCAAGAAGAGAACATCCTTTTATGTACCAACAAATCTATATTGAATACTTTCAGCCTATTCTTTTTATAGGCTTCGTTAGCTAACGAATTTCTTGGTAAAGCACAACACATTTAGACAATTATCTAGATCCTTATTAGCAGTGCAATTAGACTTTGTAGCAGTGGCTGAGCTATATCTACTTGCATATTCTTTGACTTCAAAGGGAGACCAGTGATCCTAGCAACCCTGGTGGATTTAGGTTAACTTTTAACTAGAATTCAAATTATACTTAAGGTATCGTGTTAGATGTATTTGTGGTTTGCTGTTACATGATAAGCTTTATTTTCTATCAGAAATTTTAATAATGCATCCCCAAAGAAGTTGTTCTTCTGAAACAGCAATCCAAGTTTCACATCCCAAATCTTGAACTTGATAACATCTCCCCTCTGCCCTATCTAGTCTAACATAAAATAAATACGTGGGTAAAAGTAACATATTGATATTTAACAAAATGAATAAATACAATTTTAGACTACATAGAAGTTTTTGTAGGGACTTAGAAAACCTCGATACCTAGTTTATAGCCTGTTGAGCTATGGGGAATATTTTCCGAACATCTATCCTAGCTCTCATCATCCCACGCTGCAAACTCTGCCTTTTCAACTAGATTGTAAGCCCAGTGTACAGGGATGCTGTCATATTACTCTACTTTCAGGGCCCAAATGGCACCCGGCACCCTGAGCTCAAGAAATGCATGTGGCAAGAATGAATGTGCCTGTTGCATGGAACACAAGTCCAAACATCACCGGGATTTTGGTTCTTTGTAGGGCAGCATTTTGACCTCTCAGGATTCCTTCCTAGTCCCTGAGTGAGTGGTTCACAGATGGGTTAATAAGATGCTCCTCAGTGTGTCAATGTCTGCTGCTGTGTGGTTTGTAGTTATATTCTGGGAATGGAATGGCCACAAAAATGACTTGTGGTGCCTTATTCCAAGTCAGTGAAACAAAACTCTCACGCAGGAGGTCACCAGTAGATCCTTTTCTGGTGGCAAAATTTCCCTAGTGATGGTTCTGTTATTGTCAAGCCTGGCCATCTGCCATTCTGAGGCTGTAGATGAGAAAATAAGAAATTGATTTAAGCTTTCTTCAGTCAATCAGATTTGGAATCCATGGCTTCAAGGGTGCTTTTGATTTACCCATGCTTAGATTAAGAGTTTGCTTGTGTAGCAATTTAAATGTTGTTCTTAGGAGGATATTATAGATTCTGCACTTGGATCCCTCAGGATGCCCCTTTGGAACCTTTAATATCAACACAGTTGTCAGCTGAAGAATCTGATTTCTATAGGAATGTGTGTCCTAGTGTCTTTGTGTGTTGTTTTTTGCCTCTGTATATGTTCCTAGCATTTTTCTATTTTCTCATGAAATTTTGCAAAGCTTCCCTATATGAAGCGCAGTATTCTCTCCGGACACCTACCACACTTTTGCTTAAGAAGGTCACTTTAGTTGGATCCATGTCTAGAGAGTAGTTATAAGAATAGCCGAAATCAGTTTATAAAGAAATAGAATGGGCCGGGTGCGGTGGCTCACGCCTGTAATCCTAGCACTCTGGGAAGCTGAGGCTTGAAGTCAAGAGTTCAGGACCAGCCTGAGCAAGAGCGAGACCCCCATCTCTACTAAAAATAGAAAAAAATTAGCCGGGTATGGTGGCGCATGCCTGTAGTCCCAGCTATACTCGGAGGCTGAGGCAGGAGGATTGCTTGAGCCCAGGAGTTTCAGGTTGCTGTGAGCTAGGTTGACGCCACGGCACTCTAGCCTGGGCAACAGAGCGAGACTCTGTCTCAAAAAAAATAAAATAGAAATAGAATGAAAGGAGCTGATATTTCCTCAAAGGGTACATTTTATATACTTTTCAAGTAACTAATAGTGAAAGCAGAGTTTTCTATGTTTACATTTCTTTCCCATCAGGAAAAAAATATTATATTATGAAAAAAATATTACATTATGTATCTGCTCTTTGTTTATTTCAGTCTGAAAACAGGGACAGATGAAAGCAAAAGGGCTTGGACTACAATGAATATAAACTTAAATCAATTGGGTGATGTTTTTTACCATCTTTCATTTCCACTGTTTTATGTAACTTTAGTGAACTGAAATATACGAGAACTTTGAAAAACGATACAGGTTAAATGATAAAAGAAATTATTATATAGTGATGTGAAACTATTTGGCCAATGAACACTGTAAACTTTGTTCTCATAATAAAGGAAAAAATTGTCTTCTCTGGCCCCACTGTGGCATCTCTTGCAGTTGGGAATTGAGGGCTGCCACAACTCTACGGACTATTCTTTTGGGAGCTGTTGGTTTAACCCAGGGGTCAGCAAACTATGGTCTGTGGGCTAAAGCTGGCCCATTGCCTCTTTTTGTATGGTCCGCAGGCTAAGAATGGATTTTACATTTTTAAACAGTTGCAAAAAATCAAAAGAAGATTAATATTTCAAGACATGGGGTAATTATACAAGATTGAGCTTTTACAATGTGTATAATGCCTCATGTTATGTAATGCATATAACATACACAATAAAGTTTTATTAGAACACAACCATGCTTATTAGTTTATGTGTCCTTTTTATGGCTTCTTTCATGCCATAGCAGAGTTGAGAAGTTGTGACAGGGGCCATATGGCCATAGAGTCGAAAATATTTACTATCTGGCCCTTCACAGAAAAAGTTTGCTGACCTCTGGTTTGAAGTAATAGCTGTAATTACATAAATCCTACTTTTGTTTAAGGATTGTGCCTGCAAACTGGGCTGTTCCAGCTCTGCCTATGATTGGGAAAATATTCTCATGATATTTAATTAATGGCTAAGGCATAATAGAAACAATGTCCCAGGAATGTGGCCGAGTGCAGTGGCTCATGCCTGTAATCCCAGCACTCTAGGTGGCTGAGGCAGGAGGATTGCTTGAGCTCAGGAGTTCAAGACCAGCCTGAGCAAGAGCAAGACCCCGTCTCTATGAAAAATAGAAAAATTAGCTGGATGTTGTGGTAAGTGCCTCTAGTCCCAGCTACTCAGGAGGCTGAGGCAAGAGGATGGCTTGAGCCCGGGAGTTTGATGTTGCAGTGGGCTATGATGATGCCACTGCACTCTACCCAGGCAACAGAGCAAGACTCTGTCTCAAAAAAATAATAAAATAAAATAAAATTGTAAAAAAAAAAATCAAAAAAAAAAAAAAGAAAAGAAACAACGTCCCAGGAATGTATGCTTGGAACAGTTGGTCCAGGAAGCATAACTTGATCAAGAACTCCCTGCTTTTAGGTATGAATCAGAATAGCCCCTGGACCACTTCAAACCTGGCTGATCCCTGTCCTGTGATGGGATCAATGATTGTCATGTCCTAAGGTCATTACTTGTCAATTATATTCAGATAGCACATGTTGACAATTTTGAAAATTAGGAAAAGTACAGAAAGTTAGGTTGAACATTACTTTAGTATCTTACCCAGACGAGATTTATTTTAATGAAAAAGTAAAAGCCCACCTGGATGGGTCTCTGCCACAACAGGGCCAGCGAGGTCAGATGGCTTCCCGACTCCTGCCTGGTTTATGGCTCGTACGCGGAACACGTAGCTGACACCCTCCTTCAGACCTCGCACCTGGAAGAAGCAGGTGTAGAAGCAATGGGCAATTTATGTCATTTAAACAGATGTGCTCTTCCTCTGTAACAATGATTTAGTCACCTAGCACCAAGGGTGCAGGACTTGTGTTCTAGATCTGATTTTGTCAAAGACTCAGAGGTGACTTTAGTTTTAGACTTTCTTTTCTCTGGACCACTGTAAGTAGACGAGGAGTTTCCAAGATCCATTCAACTCTGGTGTCCTCTCCTTATCATATAATTTAATGGCTACCAATATCAGAAACAAAGACTAAGGTATGTGTCCTTTAAACAAGTTAGCCACCTTATTCTTCGGTCAAAAAGACAAAATAGGCTGGGTGCAGTGGCTCACACCTGTAATCCTAGCGCTCTGGGAGGCCGAAGGGGGAGGATTGCTTGAGGTCAGGAGTTCAAAACCAGCCTGAGCAACAGTGAGACTCGTCTCTACAAAAAATAGAAATACTAGCCAGGTGTGGTGCCATGTGCCTGTAGTCCGAGCTACTCGGGAGGCTGAGGCAGGAGGATTGCTTGAGCCCAGGAGTTTGACATTGATGTGAGTAACGATGATGCCACTGCACTCTAGGCCAGGGGACAGAGTGAGACACTGTCTCAAAAAAGAAAAAATACAAAGTGCTCACTATAGCATATATGTTGCCTTTCCTCCCAACCCCTGATCATTTTGAGACATTCCATGAATAATTTCAGATGAAATTCTTGGCAAAAGAGAATTAAAAGCATGGATCAAGAACATTTTCCATTTGCTTAAAAGAATTTAAAGCACTAGGAAAAAAAAAAAGTTATCCCTGTAAATTTCATAAAGGTATTTCTCACTAAACAGACACGAAATTAAAATAATTGTGAATTTAAGTAACTGATGAATGATCCTAGTGTATTAAAATTCTAAATACTCAAGTTGTTAATAATCAAGATGTTTGCTGAGAACCCAATACATGTGTGCCACTAAGATAGCATTACAAAGAGTTGTTAAAAAAAAACATTCATAATCTATTTTTGTGTAACAGTCCCACTCATAATTTTTGTAACTTTCTTTGGGCTCTGCATACTCTCATCAATATTGTTAATACTTTATTGAAAATTATATTTTTATTTTTAAAACATGTGACTTTTAAAAGCCATATTATATTTTAAGAAGGAATTTATTGGCTGGGCTTGGTGGCTCAGGCCTATAATCCTAGCATTCTGGGAGACCAAGGAAGGAGAATTGCTTGAGCTCAGGAGTTCAAGACCAGCCTGAGCCACAGTGAGATCCTGTCTCTACTAAAAAAAGAAATAGGAAAAATTTGCTGAGTGTGGTGGTGCACACAGGAGGATAGCTTGAGCCCAGAAGTTTGAGATTATAGTGAGCTATGATAATGCTACTGCACTCTAGCCGGAGTGACAGAGCAAGACTCTGTCTCA